GGCTCTTTAGTTGTCGGGACAATGTGGAGAAAACCTGTGCAAGGCGGCCATGCTGAATCACATGACAGAGCGAGCGGGGATACGGGAAGTGGCCTCTACTGGATGCCTGGCCTGAGCCTTCTAGACACCTGAAAGCTTTATTTATTAGGGAGGAGAAGCTGCAGCAATACAAAATCCTTTCATATGCTTAGTCAGACGGAGAGATCGGCATCACTCCTCCACAGGGACTGGGGTGCAGCTGAGGAATCTCCTCTTTAGATGCCTATCGCCGATCACCTCGGACAAAAGTGACAGTTCATAGAGCTTGTGCTGAACTTATTGGAGGTTCTGATAGAAATAATGTCAGGAAAACGATGGTACCGAGGGTAGAGTCTATGCGCCAGATATTTTTAACAGTTTAGTGCCAATAGGTTTTTTTTTTTTTCGGTTTCTTACTGAGCTCTGCAGACGTTAGAAAAACTGTAAATTGTGTTTTCAGCATGGTAGATACTGGCCCCCGCCAGTCTTTGTGAATTCACTGCACTAGTTTAGTGCTCCTGTGAAATAAAGTCATTATTTCTTAGTGGTGATTTATTCCTTATGTCTTTATGGTATTGAGCCTCATATCATGGCTGGGCAAATCCCTGCACCCTCCCCCCCCCAACTGTCCCCTCATGCTGGTGTCACTGCTTCAGACTTCTTTTCTGTAGCCTGAGAGGACCCCACTGCTGGACAGTCATTACTAAGTGTCCACATCACAAGGTCAAATTCATCCCTTGAACTGTGATCCACTCTACACCATTAGTCGACATAGACTTACCTTTCAAACCGTGAGATGGGTCAATTCTGTGCAGCAAAGGAATGGCAGAAGCAAACAGGAGCAAGTGCATGAGGGCTCGCTGGGAGTTGCTGCTAGATCAAGATCAGTGATGGTGCTAATGTAACTATTAAACAGTGTTAACAGTGTTACTGCGACAGGGCAGCATTCCTGTGCAAAATCACGTGTGTGTGTGTGTGTGTGTGTGTGTGTGTGTATATATACAGTTGCAAGAAAAAGTATGTGAACCCCTTGGGATTACGTGGAGTTTTGCATGAATTGGGCATAAAATGTGCTCTGAACGTCATCTAAGTCACAACAATAGAACACAGTCTGCTGAACATAATACTACACAAACGTTAGATGTTGCCATGGTTTAATTGCACATAACATGTAAAGATTCACAGTGCAGGGAGGAAAAAGTATGTGAACCTTTGGACTTAATAACTGGTTGGCCCTCCTTTGGCAGCAATAACCTCAACCAAACGTTTCCTGTAGTTGCAGATCAGACCTGCACAACGATCTGGAGTCATTTTGGACCACTCCTCTTCACAAAACTGTTTCAGTGTAGCAATATTCTTGGGATGTCTGGTGTGAATCGCTCTCTTAAGGTCATGCAACAGCATTTCAATCGGGTTGAGGTCAGGACTCTGATGGGCGTATTCTGTGCTGTTGCAGCCATTGTTTTGTTTTCCTGCAAAATGTCTTGATAAACTCTGGAATTCATTTTCCCATCAATGACAACAATCTGTCCAGGCCCTGAGGCAGCAAAGCAGCCCCAAACCATGATGCTCCCTCCGCCATGTTTTACAGTGGGGATGAGGTTTTGATGTTGGTGTGCTGTGCCTTTTTTTCTCCACACATAGTGTTGTGTGTTCTTCCCAAACAACTCAATCTTGGTTTCATCTGTCCACAGTATATTTTGCCAGTAGTGCTGTGGAACATCCAGGTGCTCTTTTGCAAACTTCAAACGTGCTGTAATATTCTTTTTGTACAGCAATGGCTTCCTCCGTGGTGTCCTCTTATGTACTCCATTCTTGTTTAATGTTTTCCTTATTGTAGATGTGTCAACAAAAATGTTAGCATGTGCCAGAGATTTCTGTAGGTCTTTAGCTGACACTCTGGGATTCTTCTTTACCTCATGCAGCATTCTGCGCTGTGCTCTTGCAGTCATTTTTACAGGACGACCGCGCCTAGGGAGAGTAGCAACAGTGCTAAACTTTCTCCATTTGTAGACAGTCTGTCTTACCGTGGACACATGAACATCAAGGCTTTTGGAGATACTTTTGTAACCCTTTCCAGCTTCATGCAAGTCAACAATTCTTGATCGTAGGTCTTCTGAGAGCTCTTTTCTACGAGGCATGGTTCACATCAGACAGTGCTTCTTGAAACCAGTAAACCCAAAACAGGTGTGTGCTTTTTAAGGGCAGGACAGCTGTCAGCAACACATCCAATATCATCACACTGATTGGAGTCAAGGTTGGCTCACTCCTGGCTCCAATTAGCTCTGGGAGAAGTCATTAAGCTAGGGCCTCACATACTTTTTCCTCCCTGCACTGTGAATGTTTACATGTTATGTGCAATTAAACCATGGCAACATCTAATGTTTGTGTAGTATTATGTTCAGCAGACTGTGTTCTTCTATTGTTGTGACTTAGATGACGTTTCAGAGCACATTTTATGCCCAATTCATGCAAAACTCCACACGTAATCCCAAGGGGTTCACATACTTTTTCTTGCAACTGTGTATGTGTGTGTTGTGTATGTATATGTATATATATATATGTATGTGTATGTATATATATATATGTGTGTGTATATATATATATGTATATGTATGTATATGTATATATATATATGTGTATATATATATATGTGTATTTATATTATATATATGTATTATTATTAATATGTTATATATGTATGTGTATATATATGTATGTGTATATATATGTATATATTGTATATATATATATGTGTATATATATATGTATGTGTATATATATGTATAATTATATATATATATATTATATATATGTGTATTATGTATAAATGTATGTATGTATGTTATATATATATTTTTATATTATTATATATATAATATATTTTATATTTTTTTTTATATGTATTATATTTTATGTATGTATTATTTTTTTTTTATTTATTAATTTTTATAATTTTTATTTATTATTATATTATATTTTATGTTTATTTATTATTTATGATATATATATTTTAATTTTTTATTTATATATATATTATTATTATATTTATTATATTATTTTTTTATTATTTATTTATTATTTTTTTTTTTTATAGTTTATATTAATTTATATTTTTTTTTATATTTTTATTTTATATATATTTTTTATTTTAATTTTTAATGTTTTTTTTATTTATTTTATATTATATATATAAATATATATTTTTATGTTATATTTTATAATAAATATAAAATAATAATATTTTTATAATTAATTTATATATATTATATTTATTTATTAATTAATATTTATATTTATTATTATTTTTATTTAATTATTATTAATATTTTTATATTAATTATTTTATATAATATATTTTTATTTATATTTTTGTATATATTTATTAAATATATATAATTTTATTATTTATATTATTTATTTTATTAATATTTTATTTATAATGATTAAAAAAATATAATAATATAAAAAATATAAAAAAAAATAAAAATAATAATGTATATATAATAAAAAAATAAATTAATTTAAAAAAATTTTTTATAAAAATTTATAAAATATATATTATTATAATAAAAAAAAATATATTTTAAAAAAATTTATGTTATATAAAAAATATTAAATAATGTAATATTATATTATATTTAATATAAAATTAATAAAAAATATAAAAATATAAAAAAATTATATATATAAATATAAATATAATATGTATTAATATAATATTTAAAAAAATTAAAAAAAAAATAAATTATAAAATGTAATAAATAAAAAAAAATAATATTATAAATAAAAATAAAAAAAAAAAAAAATAAATATAAAAAAAAATTAAAAAAATATTAAAAAATAATAAATTTAAAATGTTTATATTATGTTTTAATAAATAAATAATGTAAAAAAAATGTATGTATATATAAAAAAATATAAAAATTAAAATTAAAAAATAATGTAATGTAATTTATAAAAAAAATAATAAAAAAATTATATATAAAAAAAATAATTAATATAAATATAAATATAAATATGTAAAAAAATTAATAAATATATAAAAAAAAAAATATATAAAAATGTAATAATAAATGTAAAAATAATAATAGATATATAATAAAAAATAAAACATAAATGTTAATAAAAATGTATTAAAATAAAAAAATAAAACATTAAAAAAAATTTATATGTATTATAAAAATGTAAAAAATAAATATAAAATAATAAACTAATAAAATGTAAAAATATATGTATGTATATATATATGGGGGTATAAAAATTATGTAAAAATTAATAAAAAAATGTAAAAAAATATAATATATGTATGTATATAAAAATGTATGTAGTATAAATTTATATGTATATAATCAATTAGTATAATTCTTAGCACTGGACCCTGTAGCTAAAACTGGTGCAATAAAGTCTAGGTATTAACATAATCGGACTAAGCTTGGTGCCGTCAAAAATAAAAATATTTGGACTCCTTGAATGTACAAATGTGGGAAACACAGTAATGCCTGATGGGTCTGTGAGCCTGTTTTTTAAAGTGCGATAGCCTTTTGGCGTTGTGGAATTAAATTTAAAAATAGTAAACATTGGAAGTTCTCTCTTATTGACCTTTTATGAGCCATTGAAGATTCCCTTAAAGGTGTTTGACCATTTAATGATTGATTACGGTGGGAGCTGACCCTTTGTCCAGCCAGAGGGAGAGATCCATCCTGCCTGGGATCATCCGTTGATACATTATGCTCTGACTCCTTGAGGGTCAAATATTTGAAATTAAGCGCGCATGCCAGATGGTGACGGATAGATTGGCACAAGTTTTTGAGCACGCAAATTCTATATTGTTTGAAGAATTGAAATTGAAAATCTAGCACTTTTCATTGATCCTTGGGGACTTTGCGATATATTGCTGTTGTCATGCTGTATGATTTTGTCATTGTTGATTTCATTTTCAGTGTCGCCATGTCACATTTTTTCTCTATTTGTTTTGAATC